ATGCATGAATGAGTCAAAGCAAGGCTCTGGGCATGTTTTTATGAGAGTATAACATTATAACGTAATATAAAATAAAAAAAATTGATTTTATGTGATATTGCCCCTTTAAATATTCACAGAATCCCATATTTAGCAGATGAGAGGGAAATATATTTTTATTTCAAAGAAACATACTATTTTTTACCCCAAAGTACAAAAACAGAAAAATGTTCCCATGTGAGGTTCATTTGTTTCGTTCTGCTGTTTTTTTGCATCTCCTTAGCAACTCACCAACCATATCCGAGACACCCTGCCAGCTTTCCGCAGCAAGCTGCAGGCCCAGCTGTTGGCTCTGGACAAGGAGGCAGAGGAATACCGGGGATACCGGCCTGATGACCCGTCTCGCAAAACCAAGCAGCTGTTGCAGTCAGTACACAGTTTTACCCACAGCAGAAGCATATTTGTGGAAGTTCCCTTTTCCTCTCGACTAATGGCAATGGCAGACGTCAGAAACCGATGGCTTTGTTTCCCCCCGTCAGTCATGTTTCTGTGAATGTGTTTCAGGATGGTGCAGCAGTTCTCTGTGGACTTTGAGAAGAGAATTGAGGGCTCAGGGGATCAGGTGGACACGGTGGAGTTGTCAGGTGGAGCTAAAATCAATCGCATCTTTCACGAGCGCTTCCCCTTCGAGCTGGTCAAGGTGAATGACTCATCAGACATAAACAGGAGGAAGCAGTGTCTGAAATAGTAATAATAATAAAAATAATAAAGCATTTTCTTATTCAAATTAAACCCAAATTGGTCTTTAATAAAACACTTGTATTTTTCTTTATTTGAGCGTTTTACCCCATGTCTAAATGACCATCAGCATTTGAAAAAAAAGAAAGAAAAATTGGTAAACTTGACAAAAATATTTTCTTGGATTAAAACTTTTTTGGTGTTTTATGTTGAACATGTTGAAACAGACACACCTGTTTAAACATATTGACTCTTTATCACTCACTGATTTAAACAGGTTCATTAGAGTTTAACTTTTACTTAATATTACTTTTAAATAAAACAAAGATTTTTAAGGATGAATTTAGCACTAAATGAAAGTAGAACTTTTATATTTTCTGTTTTATTTGAGTTTTGGTCAATACCGCCCCAAATCCAAGACTATATTTGACGTTTTTGTTTGTTATCTGGGAGTTTTTGTTATTGAATTTATGCATAAATAAAGACATTACCGATCTCATTATTTGATGAAAGTCCCTCTTTTTTTTTTTCCAGATGGAGTGTGATGAGAAGGAGATGCGGCGTGAGATCAGTTACGCCATTAAGAATATTCACGGTATCAGGTCGGTGTTTATCTAAAATATTTTACTGCCTGAACTGTTTTTATTTAATGTTCAAGTACAAAAAAAAAAAACCTGACATTGTCATGTCTTTGCCCTCTGAGTTTTAACATCAGCAGTTTTCAGTTTTGGTTAGAAAAGTCAACCACATTCTGAAAATATTTAAAGATGAATTTTTCTCATTAGGGCTTGCCATTTCAAATACATAAGAGCAGGGGTGCCCAACCTTTTTTGAACCAAGAGCTACTTTTGAAGTCGGCAGTTTGCCGAGAGCTACTCGTCCAGTCTCAGTATCAAAAAAACATAATTTTGTCTCCCTACTCCTCACTTCTTTAAAGTAAATAAAACAGAACGTAATGTGTTGCTAGTTTTTATTTAAATTAAAGTATTGTCAAAAATCTATCTACTTAACCATATATTTACCTGCAAAAAAAGAGAAAAGATCAAATCCTTACTTAACTCTTGACAGTGAAACAGAAAAGTGATGCTTGAACAAAAAGTACCATTTTTTTATCTCCTTCAATCAGTACTCACTGTAACGTGCGAGCTATGAGGGATGGAAACCTGCACACTGAGAGAACTACAGACTTAAATAACTTTGGAGCACGGGAACTCATCTCCATTTATTCAAAGAACTCTACTCTCTTCTCTCCATACCTCCATAGGGAGGAAAAACAAAACAAAAAAACTATCAGGTCAACATGGCTACCACAAGAGTACTGCCCTTTTTATCAAAGTCAAAGCACACAATATAAAACTCTCTCGCAGGCGGCTATAAAACCTGGTGCTGAGCTTCCAGGACCGGTTTCACCTGATCAGATCTGTTCCTTTTATTGCCTGCCATTGTTGAAAGTAGCAATAAATATTCAGTTAGTCACACACACACACACACACACACACACACACACACACACACACACACACACACACACACACACACACACACACACACACACACACACACACACAATGTATATATATATATATATATATGCTGTATGTATATATAGTAAAAACAAGGCAGGGTTTATTGAGCAAACATCAGTAGGTTTATACCAAAAAACAACAAAAAATCCATTTCGTTTTGAAGAGACAAATGCACACAGTATTTACACATACTAACTCTAAATACGCATATATTGTACAAAGTAACTTACTTGTTACACTGTTATAAAAGTCAACATACAAACAACTATCCAAATATTCATAAAATAAAAAATAAAAGTTTAAAACTGGCTTCATTCACAAGAATGATGCGCTCAGAAACTCCATCAAACTAATGTTACCTTTATTCCGAAGAAGCTGGTTCCTCAACGTCTTCTTTGGTCTGAAAATCATCCTGGAACCTTCATGGTGGTTTGATGAGTCTTGAAGAACATCTTCCAGACATTATTCTATCAAAATATTTCCTCTCTGCTCTGAAAAAAAAAAGCTGTCTCTCGTAACTTTCCACTACACTCTGCATCGTGCGTCTCTGGAGGAGGGTAAACAAAGAGGTTGTTTCGCGGGCTCACTGCAACTGGTCACGCTATATTACTGTAAAAACCCATCTATCAACGAAAACCCAAGATTCTTGGCAGGAACCGCTGGAATATTTCAGATTGTACAAATGGTTGAGAACTTACGGCATTTTAAAACAAAAGGTGACAAAATGCGTTGGTGCCGACACGCTCAGTGTTAAAGCCTGACGGGGAGGCAGGCAAAGCCTAAATGCTGGTATAGTAGATGAGCTTTGACAAATTCTGAATGCTAAATTAAAATTCAAGTTGTCCACCGGAGCTAACTTGAAATTGCAATAACTGTAATTTTAAGACAAATCGTTCTGAAACTCTATGTGGTTGTAGCTAAGAATGATCCCCATCACAAACTGAAGCCAAATCAAAAATCCAAGATGGCTGCAATAGCTAAAATACAGTATAAATTTGGTCCTAAATCAGACGTTTTTAGACATAATAGTCTAAACTTTGGGAGGTTGGTAGCTGAGAGCTAACTCAACACAGTCTGAATGCTAATCACAAGTGCTAATTTTAGAAATGGCTGTAAATCAGCCATTTTTCCACATACAAAGCTGAAATCTGGTAGTAGCTGAGAACTGGCTTAGAAAAATTTTAAATCTTATTTTAAAATTCAAAGATGGCTGCCAGAGCAAATTTTAGACTGCAAAAACTAATAATGGTTTGACATTTGGTGTCGTGTTAGCTGAGAATAATTTGCGTCACATACTGAAGCCATATCAAAATCCAAGATGGACGCCATATAGCTAAATTAGCTAATAGTTTAGTTGTTTTTAGACATATTGAGCTAAATGATGTGGTGATAGCCAAGATAGACAAGACTATGTTAAAAAAAATCCTGCACTAAGAGGCAAGCCCTTTCCCAGTTTCTCCAGGAACTATTAGTCCAGCCAGTTTGCATGCCATCTGCGTTGATATCAGAAAATGTTGCTCTTTTTTTGTCCAGAACTGGACTTTTCACTCCAGATATGGCTTTTGAGGCCATAGTGAAGAAGCAGGTTGTGAAGCTGAAGGAGCCTTGCATCAAGTGTGTGGACATGGTCATCCAGGAGCTGATCAACACTGTCCGCCAGTGCTCCAACAAGGTAACCCTACCACTCACTGGGGATTAGGATGAGGATTAGCAACATCCAGGCTGTTGAACGGTGTGATGCGTTTTCAGTTGGAATGTTTCCCGAGGCTGCGTGAAGAAACTGAACGGATTGTGACCTCTCACATTCGAGACAGAGAGAGCCGGGCCAAAGACCAGGTGAGAAACTGGTTCACTTGACTGTTGGAACCAGATTCTGTGTTATTAATCATTTGTTGTCATTCAGGCTTTTCTTAAAACTGAGTCAGGTGAAGTTTGAAGTTCTGTGGAGCAAATGTGAAATATTAAACAGCTGTATTAGACAGCTCTTTGAATCACCTCAAGTTTGACCAGATTGATGAGCTAATGGCTAAGTTTGAGTGGATTAAATCCACTCCTATTAGGAAATTTTATGGCAAACGCTGACATCATTTTCACTATTTCCAGTTAATTTGGTGAAACTATTATTCCTGTTCTGCAGCTAAGCTGTTGTTGCTGCTGTTTGTTTGTGAGAGTAACCGCTGAACTTTAATAAGAAAATAATACGAAACTCACTGCAGTTTATGGTTTAGAACAGTGGTTCCCAAAGTTGGGGTCGGGACCCTTCCGTGGGTCATGAAACATCAAGTGAGGGTCCCCAAACTGTTTCCACATATCAATTTAAATGCAAATAAATTGTTCATTTTCACCATAATTATTAACAAAAGGAAACAATAATAATAATAATAATGTGATAAAAGGTTTGCTTACTGTATATAGTTATTATATCGAGTTATTAGCAAAGTTTGCAAACGTAAACCAGTAAATCTCGAGCCACAAGTTTCTGCAGCTGTTACTGTTCGTGGGCCGGAAGCTGAAACGTATGAAAACCACTGGTTTAGAAAATAGTGTGAAAATTCAGAAATGTATTAAAATGAAGTTGTTTTAGTGCAGCAGTTTATTTTAGACTTGGCCGAATCATGTCCAGATTAAAATGATTCTCTGAGCTGAGGTTTTTCAAAGAGCTATCTACAACAGGTAAGATATTAATGTTTTGAACTGTTCCACAGAACCTCACTAAAACAAATTTATAAAGTTACATTTTAAGCTGTGAAAAATGTTTTTGTCTTGTTTCAGGTCTTACTGTTGATCGACCTCCAGCTTTCTTACATAAACACCAACCACGAGGACTTCATTGGCTTTGCTAAGTAAAGATTTAATCTCATTGCTTTGCTTTGTCATGATAATGTTTTCATTGTTTAAAACTCAGGAGATCTTTTGGTTTTTCTTGTTGTTTCCTCCTCTCATCTTGTTTTCTCTGTCTTTTCTGTTTCGTGGTTTTCCCGCCGCAGCGCTCAGCAGAGGAGCAGTCAGACCAATAAGAGCCAGAGTTCAGCAGGAAATCAGGTGAGTTTTCATTTGTTTTCCTCATCATATGCACACAGAAACATACTTAGCACTGGAATAAAAACATATTTCAGTTCAGTGTTTGCATCGCACCTCAGTTTTGCTTGTTTAACTTATTTATGTTATTTTTTTTATTATCCATGCATGCTGTAATGTTTGAGTTGGACACAGGTTGTGAACAGTGCTTTTTTTTGTCACACTGTTTTTTTTTATATTATATTTTACTTTTCTCATCATCATTGCTAGTTTTGTTGTTGAGACATTTCCCTTTTGTTTGAACCCCTCCTGTGTTATTAAGGTGCCACCTTGCATTTCATCCCATCCCTTAGTGAGAATCTCAGCTGCCCTCTTTCAGGGCGCCTGTCGGTGAGTACGGCTCATGGCGTGTGCCTGCAGTTACACCTCTGCCCACCAGGTGGAGCTCTCCAGCACTGCTCCATGAAAACCTTTCATTTTCCGCCCCGACAGGTCGAGAATGCTATTTGATGAGAGAAATGTTGAGCATTTTCTTTTTTTTTTTTTTTTTTTTAAGTTGCTTAGAAAAGTTGCCGTTGTTTTTCTTTTAATGCTGCAGGGTGTCTAAACCCCCCCACATTCCCTCCTGTTGCAGGCCTCCTCTCCTCCCGCCTCAGGCCTGATTGTAAGAGTTTCCTCTAACTGTTTACTCTCTAACACCGCCTCCATTCACTGAGAGCCGCAGACTACAAGGGGTTACACCCGAAAAACACGTAGAATGAAATTTTTACTTTTGTTTGACACGTCAGAATGAGGCGCCAAGTGTGTAATGAAATGTTAAAAAGATTTCACTAACATATTTTTCATTATTTAGCTCTGTTCTTACATACAGCTATTTTTTTTTACAAAATTCTAAACATAAATGTTAAAAAATATATTTAAATGTTAAATCCTGAATCTAAATGTAAAAGTTAAACCTAAATGCTGAAGTTCACATTCAGGTATTTTGGAATGGAAATCAGCCTTTGCTTGGCACATGTTATGACATCATCATCCTGAGACAGCAGCAACCACTAGCGTTCCAGTGCAGCTAAATGTTCGCTACAAGACATCAAACTTTCAGTTCTGGCTGGTGTCTGCTGGACCGCAGGGACCACCCTTATTGTTTTTATGAACACATTTTGAATTTAGAATTTTATCTTTAGCAGTGTTTGAAGTGTTAGCAGAAGTTAGATGACCAGGATGATGTCATCATCCTGCGACAAACATCAACAATGGCTGTGTCCAAAACGACAGGCCAAATCCTCCGGAGGACCCAGACTACCCAGTCGAGGTGGGCCGGGTCCTTGGTAGACCAGGAAGACTGGTAAAAAAGCGTCTGTGAATTTGGACGGTCTAGCCTCCCCTCCTTACCCCGGCGTACGTGACGTCACCTAGCAACTGTGACGATGCTAAACAAGCAAACTTAAATCAAAACTAGAAAAATATCAATACATCAGCATTATTAATATCACAAAACTATAAAATTAACTTAAAGGTATCATTTGAAGAACTAATTGACCCGCTGTAGGTTCATGTTTATTTCACGTTTTTTAATGACAAAAATAATATGTAAAAACATGTCCATGCAAATGATAAAAGTATTAGAATTACAACCGCTAAAAATTTTTTATTTTTATATTGCCATATTTTTATTTAAAACATTCTTTTCTCTCGCTTCGTCCGCCATTTCTAGCATAAAAAAATCTCCGGTTGGGCCGCAATGCATTATGGGATATGGTGGGCCGGGAAGGATCCATCAGACCAGTCCTTCATTCCGGGCCAAAGGAAGGACGTATTTGTCGGCCGCATCGGAGGAGTCTTCGGTTTTGTACGTCCTTCGTCGCGGCGCTGTGACGTATGCGGCCGACAAATTCGGCCTGTGGAGGACCCGTCCTGCCATTTTGGATACAACAAATGGCTGCTGCTAGCCACCGCTAGCTCTTGCTAATGCTGCTGAAGTGAGCTAAATAACAATAAAAAAGTGGAAAGTTGGGCTAAATAATAAAAAATATGTTAGTGAAATTTTTAACATTAAATTTTACACTTGGCGCCCCATACATCGGTGTTTATTCAAGACAAAAAGAAAAAAAAACCATTAACATTTGTTTTTGTTTCTTGTCTTTTTTTAGGCACAACACAGCTTGTGCATTAGTGGCTAAAGAGAAAAGCTTTGTTATAATTTGGGTAACCTCCTTAGTGAGTCTTAGGCGGTCCAAGTCTGACAGTAATCCAACTGTTTAATCACCTGGCACCGAAGCCACAGACCTGCCTGAGTTGGACCTGTTGTGTTAATGCATCTAACACACACACACACCCACACCCACACACACACACACACACACACACACAC